TAATTCAATTTGCCAACCAACCTCCTATATCTCGTAGGGTCTCTAAGGGGCTCCCCCTGTCCACGCAGAAGCTTAGCATTCAGATCCATAGGAGAGTCAATAGGTTTGCAACCCATCATTCTTGTCTCCTCAAGAATCTCTAAGGCATACTTCCGCTGTGAAATAACAATACCTGAGCTAGACTGAGCGACCTCAATACCTAGAAAATACTTCAATCTGCTCAGATCCTTAGTCTGGAAGTGCTGAAAGAGATGTTACTTCAGATTAGTAATACCAACCTGATCATTACCAGTAATAACAATATCATCAACATAAACCACTAGATAAATACACAGATTAGGAGCAGAATGCCGATAAAACAAAGAGTGATCAGCCTCACTACGAGTCATGCCGAACTCCTGAATAATTGTGCTGAACTTACCAAACCAAGCTCGAGGGGACTGTTTCAAACCATATAGTGACTTACGCAATCTGCACACACAACCATTAAACTCCCCCTGAGTAACAAAACCAGGTGGTTGCTCCATATAAACTTCTTCCTCAAGATCACCGTGGAGAAAAGCATTCTTAATGTCTAACTGATAAAGAGGCCAATGACGTACAATAAGCATGGACAAAAAGAGACGAACATATGCTACTTAAGCCACGGGAGAGAGAGTCACTATAATCAAGCCCAAAAATCTGAGTATATCCTTTTGCAACAAGACGAGCCTTAAGCCGATCAACCTGGCCATCCAGGCCGACTTTGACTGCATAAACCCAACGACAACCAACAGTAGACTTACCTGCAGGAAGAGGAACAAGCTCCCAAGTGCCACTCGCATGTAAAGCAGACATCTCGTCAATCATAGCATGTCGCCATCCTGGATGAGATAGTGCCTCACCTGTAGACTTAGGGATAGAAACAGTGGACAAAGAAGATATAAAAGCACAATGAGGTGACGACAGACGATGATAATTTAAACCGACATAGTGAGGATTGGGATTAAGTGTGGATCGTACACCTTTGCGGAGTACAATTGATTGACTAAGAGGAGACAAGTTCGCAGTAGGTGCAGAACCTGATGCGGGGCGTGAATCACCTGGGCCTGATACTGGATGTGGACGACGATGATAAGTCAAGAGTGGTGGAGCTGCAGAAGGTTGAACTGGATTATGNTAAGAAAGTGGGCTTGCTTGACCTATTGCAGTTGTCATGGTTTGAGACCCATTGGCCATTGTGACTTTTGGAAGAGATTGAGAATATGAAATAGTAGTGAAAAGAGATTTGTTACCAGAAATATGATCTGATGCACCTGAATCAATGACCCAAGACTCAGAGGATGAAGATTGGGAGAAACAAGTCACGCTATTACCTGTTTGAACAACAGAAGCTATCTCAGAAGATGTCTGCTTACATGCTTTATACTGAAGGAACTCAATATACTCTGCTAAAGAAACCATCCGACTATTCAAAGCATCGGTTCCCATGTCGCTACAATTTGTAGGAGTAGGGTTAACTTGAAATAGTGGAAATAAGTAGCTCATGTGAGAAAACTGAAGAGATAGCTTGAAAAACACTGTTTACAGCAGGAAAACAGAACACTGTTCTGTGCCGGAAACACTGTAGCTCGCCGGAAAATTTCAAAGTTGTCGGAATTTGTCGTAACCAGGATGGATAAAATCGGAATTCCTTTGCGAGCAAGCTATCCTGAAGAAGCTTCGCGAAAAAATGGCCGGAACCTCGCCGGAAAAGTTGTTGTTGCCGGCGCTTGGAGGAGCGTGGCGGCTTTTCTGCCGGATAAAATTTCAGGGGTTGGTTGTCGGAGGGTGATCTACCTCGTGGTGGTGTTGGTTTTAGCACAACACCGACAGAAAGTGACTTTCACTTTGACAAGCCTTAGGTCACTGGAAAAATTGCACGATGACTAAGTTCTTTCTTCCCGGTTAACGCTGGAATGACGCACAACGATCTTTTCTCACTAATGCTTTGATACCATGTGAGAAGGCACGGGAAAAAATATGTTATTGATATTGGATGATAAATACAATACAGGAGGTCCCTATTTATAGTTATACACTACAAGGAGATATTACTCCTCTTCCAATGTGGGACAAGACTACACTATACATATCTGTAAACTAACATCAGACAATATGAAATCAGATAGGGTGTACTATTTCACTGCTTTGTGGGTCCAATTTGGGTTTTATCTCTATGATTGGGATACACCGTGTTGATATGCTTTCATGAGTTCTTTCGATTTTGGCACGGTTGTGGTCTGTTGTAGACCATGCCATTAGATTGTATGGGACAATTTACTAGCTACTAACTTGGTTTTATCTCTATAATTGGAATAAAATATATCACGTGAAATATGTCACCTGTGAAAAGTTTACGGAATTGCACATCCAAAGAGATGCATATCATAATGTCACAGGTCAAAGAGCTGTGGCACCTCTTTCTTGATAAAATTAGGTGGGTGCCATGAAGGTAGGGATGGAGAGTGAGTTGTGCTATGCATTTAGTGTATTCTTCTTTGTTGGAGTGAATACAATTTTAGGGTTGAAGAGGTTGTTCTAGCAGGCTGCCTATTCTCTTATATCTTTAGCATGTGTTCTGCTTTTCCTTTATTAAAAGAATTTTAAAAAGGATGGGATTTGGTCAGATTTACAGATCAAACATGTAGTGGTTTAAGACCTCGTTGCTGTTTTTGAGTCTTGCTCTGTAATACACAACTGTTAGTGGAACATCTTTTGACTGAAAAATTATCCTACTTTCCTTCGGTAAAAGAGTTACTGGTCAACAGAAGATAGAGTTTTACACAGCTTCAGATTGTCCGCAAAATTGTCTGTCAGATTTCTGCTTATATAGGCTGTTACTATTTAAACGATGTGCGACCATTGATTCTCCTTTATTTCTGAAGTCATGTTATCTCATTCTTACACTCTCTCAAGTCTCTATGTTGTCTTCATTTGACTTGTAACTCTAGTTTTATGGTGATTTCGTTCTGATTAGCTTCATTCATACCTTCTAATTGTTTTAAATCATTCTGATGTGTATTCTGTTGGTATTGTCTCATGAATACCATGATCTGAAACTTTATTTGTATGCTCTCGCCCCCCTAGGCTATTTTTTGTGTTTCCCTTTTTCTCAATGACAGTCATTATCGTGATATTTCAGATTATACGAAACTGCAATAAGACTTGGGGAGCTTCAGGCTCAGTTTAAGCTACCAATCGATCCGCAGGAGTATGCCCAAGAAAATCTTAAGTTTGGTTTGGTTGAAGTGGTATATGAATGGGCAAAGGTTCTCTCTCTCTCTCTCACACACACACACACCCCACCCCAAACCCCCCAAACCCACAGGTCTATGTGTGGGTGCGTATGACTGATATATCATAATATCCTATCCCTTGCTCAATCTTCAATTCTCCTGTGAGGGTTGTTTCTAATTCTGCTTCTCTTGCAGGGCACCCCATTTGCTGAAATCTGTGAACTTACTGATGTCCCTGAAGGTTTAATAGTGAGGACTATTGTCAGATTAGACGAGACATGTCGGGAATTTAGAAATGCTGCAGCAATTATGGGTAACTCGTCATTGTACAAGAAAATGGAAACTGCTTCTAATGTGATCAAGCGTGACATCGTGTTTGCAGCTAGCTTGTACATTACTGGGGTTTGATAAGGTCAGAAGGCCTTGATTTCAAGTGCAAGCCCAAAGAAACCGCTGGGTGCTTGTTGTACACTAAAATATTTTAGCCAAGGTGTGGACTTGAGCAAGGATACGCTACACTTGGGTAAATGTGTACAGAATTTCCAGTCGTTCATATGTAACATTACCAATCTGCAAAAATATGCCGTTAGCTCAGAGAAACACAGGAACTTTGAGATTTACTGTATCACATTCTTGTAAATTTAGATGTAACTTTGAGTTTTGCATTCATGTGCTTATCTTAAAGTTTAACACAAGACACTTGGGTTCAGGTTTGTCAATTAAAAAGTTGAATGAAAGGATTCATTATGAAGGTTAACTAGCTCTTGAATGTGATTGATGCTAAGCAAGCTGTTGAGCTGGTGATCTTTCTTTCTTTTGTTTGTTTTCTTTAACTATCTCGTATCCGAATCCTCATTGGTCAAACTAATCAGGAGTCACACCAGGTAAGCCGACAAAGCGGATAAAACGCTCCCTACCAAGAGGTTTTTCATTTCATAACTCGAACCTTAGGCTTCGGGTTAAGGGTAGAAGATCGAAATCATTCCACTATACCTGTGGTCATCTTATATGATCTAGTTCTATTGTGATTTGGAAATAGCTAGAAATGGAAAGTAGCAGCAGAGGCTTAGAAAAGCGTTTGAAAGAATTTATATAGTAGGTTATTCAAATACAACCAAACACAGAGAAGCAAAGCTTCACAGAAATACAAAATAAGCAGAAGGGGTCTGCAATATCCAGATGCTGCATTCATCAGGACCCGATTTCAGTTATCACTTCTGCTTGGTTTTTCCGAGATAAAATTAACCTGATTAACCAAAATAAAAAGCAATCAGATATTCAATATCCAAAGAGCAAACGGCATTTTCCCAATCAGTCAATTATATGTTCCAACAATGCCAAATTAGTCACCATGTGTCTGAATCTTCCATATTTATTCTATTCTAGTTAGCTGAAAGCATAGCTAAGCCTTTTTCTTTCATCCAGGTTGACCCCGGCTAACTTTGATAAACTCAATATATATATATATATATATATNTTACACATAAATTTATGCTCCACGTCGATAATAATGAGTTTAGATGTACCCGGTACCATAACGCGGCATCCGCCCTCTGGGTGGAGAGAAAGGTAGTTTTTGCTCTTAAGTTATTCCTTTTTCTTTTCTAAAAGTAGGGAAAATAAGAGAAGAGTGAATGAAGACCCTAAGGTAAGGAGATTAGTGAGTATTTAATCTTCGTCCAACCAGCAATAACTGAATCAGGTGTGTCTGAATTTGCAATCTCATGTATGTAAGAGAGCTAAGGATATCATAAAGTAACATTTCTATAAGCAGCGTATTATTTGACTTAGTTCACTCTTATGTACCCCTAATCTTTCTTTATCGGGTTATAATAATTTTGTGACTTTTTAAAATTCTTCCCCTTATCTTACTACTGTTTATCTTATTTTTATGCAACAAAATAATTTTTTTAAAAAAGAAATTCTACCAAAAGTTGCATTTGGGAATTACCGCATCAACAGCAGAAGGAATCCAGTCATTAGTAGCTGGATTCCCTTTGTAAGCATGATTTGAATCAGTAGCAGAATCAGCTCCTATATTGAAAGTGTTCCCTTTTGCATTCTCCACTTTGATAAATCCTGTTCCTGTCTGGATTTTACAAAAACACAAGTTCATTAAAAGTTATGTTGCTCGGATTCTTTAAAAACGCAATGCTTTTGAATGATCCTACATAGGGAAACGGAGCCGGCCCTTCGGCTACCGAATCAGTCGAACTCAGTAGTTTTGGTCCAAACCTTATAGTTGCCTTTAAAAATTCATTGAATACACATAAATTATTAAATTAAAACCCAGTAACTTAAAAGAACTAGAATCCTGAACCCATAAGCTTCGAATCATGGTGTTGCCACGAGCGTGTCAGTAATTTTTAGCAATATAGACCAAAACAATAATTGGAAGATTTGGTAATAGGAGTCTTAAAGTAGAGTAGAACCGTGTGGTGCTGCTTGTCAATGCCATTGAGATCCTTGTAATACTCTGTTTCCACAAATTCCTCTGTCACTTGGCTGTTTCCATTGTAAACCAGTTTCTGCAAACCAAAAAAGCAAAAAAGAACTTCTTACTCTAAAACTGTGTTAACTCTCTGTAGCTAAGTTTTCTTTAGCAGTGAAGAATTGAAAGAGAGAATAATTCTTTATTTTTTATTTTTATAACGGTGGTGTTCCATTATAAGTTTTCGAGCGGGGAAGTAGCCGCTAATACTTTTATTAGGGTAGGCTGTCTAAATCACAATTCTAGAGGTAGAGAGGGTAGAGGGTGGTGCGGCCTTTTCCTGGACCCTGCGAGAATGCGGGATGCTCAGTGCACCGGGAGCCTTGGAGCAACGGTAAAGTTGTCTGTGTGACCTATAGATCATGGATTCGAGCCGTGGAATCATTCACTAATACTTGCATCGGGTAGACAGCTTACATCGCACCCATTTGGATGCGGCCCTTCCCTTACTATTCATGTCACTATTTAAGCATGCCTTATTATACATCCTCCCGCCGGCTATTTGTTTTTTAGTTTAAGCAGAAACAAATCAAGAAAATTAAGGAGGAGAAAGAATGAGACCTGAGGATCATTCTCAAGACGTTGGAATTCAACATGTTCAGGAATAGTACTATCATTAGAAGGAATGATGTCATCAGTATAAGTAGAAGAATAGTCACTGCGCTGTGGCTTAGTGTGTCTTTTTGGTGTTATCCCATCAAAATACTCTCTTGTTGCTTCTTCTATCTTTGCTTCTTCCTCCTTTGACACATGCACATCACTTCTGTTTGCCCTTATGATTATTCCATTGCCCTCCATTTCTTCTTCTTCTTCTTGTTAAAAAAAAGGTAGCTTTCCTTTATTTCTTTTACATTCTCCAAAGTCAAAAGTATTTAGATATTTTTGGATAGATATTTTCCTAAAAGATATTTTGTCAAGTTTGGAAGTTTATGGCATGTTTGGATAGTCATTACCCATGTTTTTTTTTTGGAACTCCAAGAAAACCCGCAGCCGCTACCGTCTCTGCCACAACCTCTGCATTTTGGGTGAGCACTCTGTGGTGAGCACTCTGTGCGCACTAGGTAAACCCTCACTGTGTAATAACTTACAAACCATACATGGAATGTAAACCGCACTAGGCAAGCCCCGTACGACAGGCTCAGACCTAGAGGGGCATTGCGGTGGATTGATCCCACGTCGCCCGTATGGAAGTCGCGCGCCAAACCCAACTGGGCCGTCCCTTCAGGACTATCCATGGTTTTATAGTGTACATTATCATATTGTATAGTATTGTGTTAATAAATATAATATTTGAATAGACCGTATCGTTTGTTATAATTTAATAATATTTAATAATATTTTTATGAGCAACCACGCAAAAATCACCAAATCTGTGGTTATAAAAAATTGGACCTTTTCATGGTTATATAATGAACCAGGGGAAATAATCATTTAAACAAGGGGTTATTAACTCATAACTATTTCTCTCAACTACTTTATGTCATTCCGCGATTAGTGGTGTATACAAGATTTTACATATTGATATTTGCCTTTATTTTTACAATTCTATTTGTGAGTGATTTTAAATTTAGGATTATGTTAGTTTTGTCCCAAATTATTTTATATACACAAATTATTATTTAAATTGACATATATATTGATAGAGAAAACATCACATGGATATTTAAAGGGGAAAATGACACTGTGATACTGTAATGCCGCTATCAAAATAATACCGAATATATATATATATATATATATATATATTATATTTTTTGTATATATACATTCTGTATGTTATATACAAAAATTATACAAATTTTATATATTTTTTCGGCTACTAATGTAAATAATTTCTGACGCGAGCTAAAAATGAAAAAAACCCTATTTAAAATTTGAGTAAAAATGTAAAACTTCGACATTTATAATTTGAATAATTAAATAAATTTACGAAAATTCGCATTAAATAATATTTTTGTCTTAGAATAATAGCGACGATTAGAGTCAAATAAATTATTATATAGCAGTACACTAGTACTAGATGCTTTTTAATCTTAGAAAAATATCTGATGAGCCTTATCTATTCATGAAAAAAGCTGTTGTGAAGTCTCTTTCAAGGGAGAGAATCGAGTGGTTGTGTGAATTGGCTCGACATATGTTGTGAAAGATGGGTGGATTTCATTAAAACTTGTCACACTCTCTCTTTCTTCTTCTTGATATTAGGTATTTATTAGTCCGGTTAATTCAAATTTACGCTCATAAAAGGAGGAGCACTTTCTACTAAATTTTTTTTATTTTCAGAGCTCGAACGCAAGATGATTCCGTTTATTCCACCGCATACATTGATGGTTAACTTGTCATGGTCTTACTGCTTCATGTTTAAAGAAAAGAGCTTATGCAAGTTTTTTAGTTAGTGATCTCGGTCCATTGTCACAATTCAATTTGTAAGTTCAACTATGAAACTAGGGTAATTTTAAGACTTCAATTTCTATTTCAAATTGATACTTTCTTTTTTGTACTATTTTAAAGCGGTGTCAGTTTATTATATATATATGCATATATGCCTATTATCAACAACAAACCCAATGTAATCCCACATAGTAGGATATGGGGATGGTAGAGTGTACGCAGACTTTACCCCTACCTTAGGAAGGTAAAAAGACTGTTTCCGAAAAATCTTCGATTCAAAGAAAAAAGAAAAAGGAGCAGAAAAAACAATTGGAACAACAATAAGATACGTAATAAAGTGATAGGGACAAATATATGTGCCTATTATCGTTTAGGAAAAAAATATTATTTACATACACATGTATTTTACTATTGTTCTGGATCCACATTTCAAGTTATATCATGTTGAGTTTTGCTTTTATGAAATGTATGGTTGTGATATTGTCTTAGAAAAAAGAAGTACCGCTAGTATAGCTGAATTTTTAGATAAGTTATATCATGAGAGAGTATAAGAGATTGTATATATGTGAACAAGATAATAAAATTGAAAAATTAACGTTAAATGAAGTTTCTCAAAGCATGAATATTGATGAATGTAATAAAAGTTCAGACTTCCTTGATTCCAAATTCGCAAAGCACATAGAATCTCTATTTTTGTTGATTTGAATGAATTGTTGAATAAATATTGAAAAGCTTGGATAAGGTAATATAACTTTTATTTGTAAATTTAATGTATTTCGTTATTCTTGTGAAATATTACAATGTTTATTGAATTATTTGTTTGTCTTAGTCTGTACTGATTGTCTAAATTCGGCCATTTGTGCTGATATTGACGAATTATTTAAGTCTAATAGCGTGTTTGGCCAAGCTGGAGAAATCAACTTAT